ATATATATATATATATATATATATAAATATGTATATATATATAAACCGTCTGAGATGATTCCCACTTTCTCCATATGACGAATGAAGTAGCTCATTGACAACCGCTCAATCTTGCCTTGAAAAGAAATGATCCAGTCACCTGTTCACACCATAACTACAGTCATATTCCTACTATGCGCTACTTGTCGCGGAATTTTGAAATAAATGAGTTAATTTGAGAAATCTTGTCATATCATGGTCAATAGTAATTGCTTTTGATTGGCATGGGAACTGTGGCGAAGTTAACTGCGGCGAGACCAGCCGCCCAACTTTCTTTAGTTTTATTCATGATTTCTAATTACGTACCGTTTAGTTTATGCAGAATTCATAATGTTCAGTTTCAAGTAGTATTTAGGTATTGACGAATTCGCAAAATTTGGGGATGATCTCAGTTTTACATTGGAAACGTTTACTCGATGCAAAATAATAATCCATTCCAGTTCAGTGGAACACTTATGCAGTTTTAGAATCTGATGGGAAACGCTTGCACACCAAAACGAATAGATATAGTATCTCGTTTTATTTTCATAATTCATGTACAAGGTTTCTACCTCATCACACCGAACCATAAGCTAATGACATTGGTTGGTACCTTTGTACACCATGGTTGTTTTTCGCGAATCAAACGGCCGGATCGTACCGGCTCACAGTCGTTGAATCCGGTGTCGCAATCCAGCTGGAGCGAGATGCATATGCACTCTTAATAATTTTTCAGAAGAATAAGACAGCTGTACAGAGTTTCCATGTTTTCAATGGTCGTTTAAGCAAGCAAACGGCACTGCTTCAAAACCGTTAGCGAATAATTCTGGAGTCCTTCAGGGTGTTGTGCTCTCCCCCTACCTATTTTCGACTTTCATCAGTGACTTACCCTCAATCCCACCAGCCAAGACCTTCAAGTGTGCTGACGACGTGGTCGTGTGTCAAGCCATCTCAAACCAATCGAACATAGAATCATTTTCTGACAATTTGTTGCAAGTGTAATCATTTTCGAACCAATCCGATCTCCGACTGAATACTTTTAAATGCTTTGAATGCAGTTTTAGTCTTTCCCGATCCGAATACCCCCTGGATCTCTCAGTCATCAATTCCTTACTCATCACCAGAATACATACCACGAAATACCTAGGAGTTACCATAGATAGCAATCTACAGTGGTCTTCTCATGTGCTTGCTTATGTTTGTAGACTGCGTCGCTTATCTTTTCAAATACGTACGCTACGACAATTTCGCGTTAGGCATGAAACTGTATGTTCCTTTGTTTATCAATGCATTTTTCCTATCATACTTTATTGTCCACCCGTTATTTTCCCTGGTCTACTTAGAAAAGACTTCATTACTCAACGTCGCGGTTTGGTGATTAGCAGCCGTGTTTCTCTTATTCCTTTAAACACTCTGATCACAAAGCTGTGTAATTTGCATGTCACTTCATGTGAGAATTTCGCTCAGAAGATACTCAATGATCCCTGTCATCCGCTCAATCCCGATTTTTCTGCTTTCCCTTCCCACGCTTCAACCCGATCCAATTTTCGCTGCCCTCCCGTATAAACATTTACTGCAGCTCAACGGGTCCCTATCTGGCTCGTATTCTCACTGACACGTTGAGGATCCCAAACGAACTAATTTTAAACTTACAAAGATGAACACCTATTTAAGTTTTATCATTGTTATATATTAATTTTCATTCCATTTTTTATCCCACTGTAACGGTGAACACATTTTTGAAATGTGGGCACAGTTGCCTGCACAAGTCATCTATAGTAATAATAATTGATGCTGCATATCAGACCATTTCGTGAACAAATTCAATCCATTGTCGACTGGGGTGACCAAACGGTGATCGTCGCACTCCGGTCACTTTGGGACACATGTGACGTGTCGTTAAAGCACAGAGATTATCGACCCATTGGTGATTTGATATCTTACTCCCCCAAACCGTGCTTACCAGTGAAATCAACTGTGATTATCGTTCACCGGTTTTCAATTGCATGTCAGTGCAACAGAGCTTATCGATCGAATGATTTTCACTCCCATTGGTAGGAATCTATCTTACATCGGCGTTTAGATTTTATTACTGGTGAAACACGTATACCGTGATTGAGCATGACAGCAAGGAAGCGGAATGTTCTTACCTTCAAAGCTTGATCTAGCTACCAATTATCTGAATCCCTGAAGCGAACATCGTGTCGAGTTTTACGCATCAACACGCTAGGTTTTAAAAACGCTCTCACCAAATTTGTGGCTGCATTTTCTTTATGATTAATTTCATCGTCACCGATAAGGAACTTGCTGCTTTAGAATGTATGATATTTTTGAATGAATAAATCCTTTTAATCCGACTTTGTTCATCTCTCTTTCCTAATGTGCCTACTAGTGGATATCAGCCAAATGGTCAAGTGGTTGCCTTCTTTCGGATGTTAGGTGAATTCTCATACTCCCTTTCATTGTTTGCCTTTTTCGCTACACAGACACAGAATCTGATCTGTCGGATGAAAATAGAAACGAAGGATCCGTTCTGCTGGTTGCCCCCGGTGGAGTACGTGAAGCTCTGTTCTCCAACGAATACTACTCAGTCGTATGGGGTCGACGCCACGGGTTCGCCAAAGTGGCCATTCTTGCTCGACAGGTGAGATCTCTTACAGGCCACCACATACGGCATGAAAACTGAGAATGAATGCATTGTCCATACCAGCGACAGTGAATGGTAATGATGACACCCAGACAAAACAATTTTCTTATTGAACCCTAAAGCCTCGGTATGGTCGGGGGCAAGTGTCTTGGGTTGTGGCTGGTCACCCTTCCGTTGCACCTCGCGAAATGTTCCTATGCGACCAAGCGTCTCAAATAGCCTCTGCTGTGAAAACCCTGTTCACCGCCTTCCCGTGGTGGATGCTTTTTCGCACCAAAGTGAGAGGACAAAAAGCTAAAAACCGGGTTGATGAACCACTGATAGCTCAACTGACTAATCCCTGATTCCAAACCAGTTAGGAGGAGGCATACGAACCACATACATCCACACCTTCCTGGTTGTGGCAGTGATCATTGGCTTAATTGGGCACCTTGGACATTTGACTCCGTCCAAAGGGCATATCCGATCAACTTGACGCCGGCCCCAACGGAATGTGGTTTGCACAAACCGCTCCGCTGCCTTACGGATCATGCGTCGGTTAGCCAAAGGCTCCGGTTGTATATTCCCTAGGAAAATTCACCTGCATTGTCCTAGGGCAACCTGTCAGTTTTCCGCCCACGAGCAAATCATGTGCCGTTTTTCCTTTTATAAAGATTATTTGTACCGTGATTGTTTTGGCACAGTTTGTACTCAGACATGCATGAAATACAAATACAATTGTACAAGTTGAATCTGGCGAATAATTGCACATTTTATACTCTTTCTTAAGCGCCTGAGTTCAGACAATTTGCCAAACAAGCCACGGTATGCCAATCTCTACAATGAAGAAAATGCTTTATGGTTTGTTAGACGGTGGAATACTAGTAAGTTGTTCAGGCCAAAGTAAGTGAGTTTTCCTGAGGAATTTACAATTGTAGCCTTTGATTAGTCAATGCCTGTCTCACAAGGCAACAAGGTGATGCGCGAAAACCGCCATCCATTGCTGGCCGGTGTCCAGTTCATCGTTTCATCCGCCTTTTTAAACGCAGCTAAACGTTCAGTGTCCAATCGGGCTGGTGGCCCTTGACACAACCAGAACAACGTGTGTCTGTGTGGCTTTGAGTCCTCTGGGTCTTGTGTCCTGGTTTTTGGTTTCCCTTAGATGAACTGCCCGTGGTTCAGAGACTCGGTTATAGTTTCGAATGTTGGCTTTTCGTCCTCTTATTTTGGAGATAAAATCACTCCGCCACGCAAAAGCAGTGAACAGGGCTTTCTCAAGAAAGGCTATTTTAGATTTTTGGTCGTTATGTTCATTTCGTAAGGAGGTCGAGGGATTTCGGTTACCGAAACGGGGACAAACTGTTCGCAGTAAGAAATAACGACATGTTCTCTAGGCGGAGTACTTTGATAAACAATTCAACTTTCCTGCACTAACCAGCAAACCGCTACTATTGAAACTAAACCACTGTAGTTATTTTCATGTTATCCTCCCATAGAAGATGTGTAGTCTTGCATTCTAGCTGTTTAGAGGTGATAAGCAAATGAGCTTGATGGAATTCCCTCTCTTTTATCAAGCTGCGATTGACCACCTCGTGGACTGCATGACATTTAGAATGTTTTGTTTTATCCTGGGTTGGTTTACTGATCGTTCCGATTCTCCATGAATGAGTCCCTGTAGTGCTGGGAGGATACGTTTGTTCCAATTGTTAACCTCCGTCTTGCCTTGACGTCTGATACCATTAAGAGATGCAAGTATCCGTGAACAATAGACTGTATTCCATTCTGGTCTCTGCTGTATTAATCGCACACACCATTGACTGACTTTGACAGGTTTCCTTCAACTTTAAGGAGTTTTTTTACTTCGTTGACCGTGAGGCTCTATCCCGTTACCTTCGTCACAAAAAAATGTCACAGAAGTGTGTAAATTATTGCTTGTACAGTTCTAATCGAGTAAGGGTCTACAGCGAACCAAGTAGCTCAATCATCACCACTAGCGGTGTTTTTTAATGGCGCCACTCTTGTTCAATTTCGCCGTGGACGAAATACTGGAGAACGCCTTCACTGGTCTCAAAGTAGTTGGTAGTGAATGGTCGGATGGAGGAAAGCTGTACGACTTAAAAGACGCTGAGGACATCATCTGTCTGTTTGTACGTATGAAGGGCGCACAAATCACACCCGAACCAGCAGGCTCTGTTGCTTCTTTCCGTATACTCCATCAAGATACGAACTGAATGTATCAGACTGGGTGTTTTTTAGCTTTGCTTCCCACTACCTTGAAGAAATTACTTCTCCTATCGGAGTATTTGCTTGATGGATGATGCTTTCCCAGTAACTTAGGTAACTAAAACAGCTTCAAGTTTCGAGCAGCATGCACAACACTGAAATTCTTTCGTTTTTACATTTGACCCACAGTTACTTTTGGACAGTTGTGTGGGATAATCGATACGGACTTGGACTGACTGTCCTTCAAACTTCACCTTCACACCCAATCCCCATCTCATCCATTCGACCCTACCATCGGAAGCACTAAACTCGAGTTGCGCTCTTATTAGAGAACATCAGTAGTGCTGCCTCGTCCGGACTTTGAATCCAGGACCCATTGCACAAAGGCGTGTGTGTTATCACTGTGCCAACCAGGTCACATCAAGGCTAAACGGAGGATTGTACATGAAGATGAAGTCCGAGGGATGATCAGTTCAAACCTTTGGCTTCAATATGACCTATCTTCAAAATCTAAAGGTCGCGTATAATTTACCACCGTCCGGTCAGTTCTGCTTCACAGTTATGGGACCTTGACTTCGACTAGTTTTCAGCAATCATTGTAGATGAAGTGATGTGGTAAGCAACTTTGTGATAAGCTGTCAGGAAACGTCCATTGTCTTCTGGAATTCAAGTTAGTAGGCTTCACTGTTTAGAACACATATTGTCCATGCGTATTAGTAATCAGTGCCTCATCTTGTTTACAGCTGCTGTTCCGGGATGGAGGAAATTGCGTGGAGGTCAGTAGATGATGTGAAGATGAGGTGCAGTAGATGCGTTTCCCGTGTTCAATTTTGGGGTCTAAAAGACTTTGTAACCGTTTGATTCGAGACGCTGAAGAAGGACATGATACTGAACCGGTAGCATTGGCGTCATTGTTGTGATTGTGTATCCGGTCTTGGTTGTAGCGGCTCCCTTTCTTTTCCCATTCCCACTAAACAGACGCATTCGAATTCACCTCTTTCGTTGTTAATTTGGTAGCGATCGTTCAATTTCGCTTCACTCTATTTTGCTGTATGATTAAGGAGATGATGAGTCCAAAAAAGAACGAAATAGGTGCCTATTGCACTTTGTTGTTCTTCAAAGGAATTCTTCGACAACCGAAACTGCCGTTCACCTCAAGGTCTGATGTTTGAACCCAGTCATCACTAGTCGACAGACTGATCACCTTTGTCAGTATCACCTCCAACAACCATGTGCGGATGCTTTCGATCGTGCCAGTACAGTTTATGTTTGAAACCCAGATCATAGGNCGACTTGTGTTTGTGTGATGGAGACTGTCTAGATACCGTCACATCCATAAATGTGATAGAGGGGATTAGGTCGTTGATGTCTTAACAAATAATGCCTTGGTGTGGTGTTTTTGGATGTGGATGTAGACCATACAGTATGAAGACTACGAAACAGACGTTTTTGTGCACGAGACTTCGAAAGCCGAATGTTTCGTTCCAGTGACCTCAGTGAGTTACGATCTGCTGGTCCGATTGCGTTTAGATCGATTTGGAGGCATTTGGTAGATAATCCCGACATATCGATTGGTCTCTGTGCGGTGACCAATCTCCAGCGTGTGCACGAGGACCTCATCGGGAATCGACACTGATTATCTGTGACTAAGTTGGCGTAAGAGCTGTTCTTTCACTCACACGGATACTTGTCAAAGTCAAAGTGTTATTATGGGAAATACTTACAAGCGGTTGCTTTTCTAGTCCCATAGGATTTGGCACAGATGAATCGGTTCACAGTACATACAAAGTAGATGAATGTCACAATTTGTCCTTTTTTCGTGCGCTTCTACGGA